CTGCATGGAAAGGATCATTTCCTGAGTGGACTGCGTACAGGGGTTGGATCGTGCTGCTGGAGACTATTCTCCCATATCCCTTGCATGTAACGTCTTTCCTGTTATGTATTATACCCTCCCGCACGACCTCGAATCAACATTGCGGCACAAATTGCGAATTCTAGAATGAACCAAATATTTACCACACCTTAAGTTTAATCATAAGTTGCTAACATTTATATCTGTGAACCCAAAAGTATACTTCTGGGCCATAAACCTGTAATCACCATAAGCTTGGCGTGTTTAAAGAGATAATACACTTATCCTCTAAGTGGACTTATATTTACCCACCATCCCTCTCCGCTGAGTTTCGGCCGCCCATGATTTAGTTCCTAAGTGACAAAGTAACCCGTTTCAATCTACGATAACGGATGTTACATAACAAGGGGTATAAAAAATCTTGCTCTAGAAAACGCTCATTATACACACTAGAGCTGAGGAGCACTCAGTATTTTTAAAATTATTGTGCCGTCCTCAGTAAACTTAATGCAGCTGCTGAAAAAATGTCCAACACTGAATATATAATGGAAGCCGAAAATAAAACCAAAGCTACCTTGTCATTATTCAAAAAAATAAAACCCAACTACCACAAAAAACAATATCCTAGATAGTTTTGCAATGAAATATAATGATTCACAAACCATAGAAAATCAAATCAATAAGTATTTTATTGAAGCTTGTCCTGACCTAAATAAACCAGAAAGCCCAGATTATACAAAAATAAAAGAATGTGATGATGCTTTTGTCTTTGAAGCTACCACTCTGTTTGAAATAATAGAATGTATTGAAAAATTGAAAAATAAAAAATCTGTTGGTGTGTCTAATGAAAGAAACTGCAGAGATTATAACCTATCCTTTATATTTCTCACAAGTAGTATTCCCAGAAATATTGAAAGTGGCATATATTAAAGCTTTATTCGAAAAAGGAAACAGCGATGAAGAAAGTAACTACAGGTCCATATCATTATTGCCAAATCCCAGTAAAATTTCTTGAAAGCTCGTGAACAAACGTTAACTTCAGTTTTTAGATGATAGATAGATAGATAGCTTTATTACCTCATTAGCCACATAAGTGTAGGTTCGTTAGTTACAATCATCGGATACAACCGGATACAATCTTTAAAATCTAACATTATATTGAAAAAAAAATATAAAAAAAAGGTAGAATCAATGATATAAAAATGTTAAAGAAACAGCACAATAAACAAGTATTCTCACCCAGATTTGAATGCAAAATTACTATTTATTAACATTTAGAAGATCTACGAATTCTTGAATATTATAAAGCGGATTGTCAGCCAGTAGAGTTTTTACAAGCTTTTTGAATCTGTTAAGGGTGGTATTTTTTATTTCCTTCGGCAGCAGGTTATAAAAGTAACTTCCTGCCCACTCTGGTGATTTTTTATACGAGAGGTGCTTGAAGCTTCTGAGATATATATTCTCCTGTTTTCTCGTAGAGTATTGATGAAGATCTGAATTTTTTTGTAGGTTGATGATATTCCTGTGTGCCTATCAATAATTTGAATAAATATATACCTGTTACGGTAAGAATTTTTTGAGATTTAAAAGTTGGTATACACGATTCACGGTATTCCAGGCTATATATTAATCGAATGATGCGTTTCTGGATCATGAATACTCGGTTCCGTTCTGTAGCTTGTCCCCATGTGGTGATATTATAGCTAATAGCTGAGTAGGCAAAGGCGTAATAAACGTTTAGCAGGGATGATCTGTTCAAGGTTGATTTCAGTGAATATAGGGCAAAAAACGATTTGTTCAATCTCTGACACACGCTGTTGATTTGATCAGACCACATAAATTTTTCATCAATAATTGTGCCGAGAAAGGTTTTATGGTAGTGACCATAAAATTATCTATTTTGATTGATATATTATTGGACAGTGACCTAAGATTTGTGGAAAATTGCATAATTTTAGTTTTTTCCGAATTGAGAATTAGACGGTTATTGTCGCACCACCAAAGAAATTGTTTGATAATGTGCTGTTAGCAAAAGAACAAAATGGATTCCGTAAAGATAAATCAACTATGCAGGCAATATATCAAGCCACTGAAAAAATTTAACATCATTTGAACAAAGATGATTATACTATAACTTCGTGTATTGACCTGTCCAAAACATTTGACAGTATTAGTAATGACATTTTATGCAACAAACTTGATAAATATGGAATCAAAGGCACATCTTTGGACTTAATCAAATCCTATTTGACAAACAGAACCCAACATTTGATTGAAAATGACATCGCGGGAATATTTAAATCAGACTAAATTGTGATAAAAAAAGATATGCCACAGGAATCCATCCTAGGCCCATCATTATATATACTGTACACAAATGAAATACCAAATGTAGTAATGGAGATATTGTATTATATGCTGATGATATATAGATCATCGTAAAAGAGAACTCTCAGTTGGTCATGACACAGACAACAAATGTGTTAGATATATTCAATTTCCTCACAGCAAATGACCTACTACTTAATATTGACAAAACTCAAATAATTCATTTCGCAAATTGATCCTTGCCAGAGTTGAATACGTTTAAATAATAATCAAAATATAAACATATGCAATCAGGTAAAATTTTTGGGACTGTTGATAGATGAGAGACTGGACTGGGAAAATCTCATAGACTACTCATCAAAAAATATTGCAAAATATTACTATGCACTGAGAATACTCAAACATGTCTCAACCGAAGCTGCCCTCTCTGCATACCATGCTTATATTCAATCTAGGATAAAATATGGAATTATAATCTGGGGAAACTATGTTAATATCTCTAGGATACTCATACTACCAAAAAAATGTATCAGGTATATCTATAAGATGAAAAAACGATAGCTGCAGAGAAGTTTTCATTAGGAGCAAAATTTTAACTTTAATAAATGTCTATATATATGAAGCAGTAGTATTTGTAACAGAAAATAAATCAGAACTTTTCATTAACTGTGAAAAGGATCACGTATGAATGATTTTAGAAATGAGAAATGCAACTATATATACATACAAAGAAATGTCAAATATAGCGTTATAAACATTCACAATGAATTTCCACTCACTCTAAGGAATCTTCCAATTTCAACAATGAAGTGTCGTTTGAAGAACTACCTCGTAAAAAAAGCTCCGTCACGCTGGAACCCGCTTTGAAATAATCTACCTTTTTTAGCCTACTTCACCTTCAAAAGTTACTGATAAATGTAGTAATGTTCATTTTTTTGTAGTCTTATCGGTTACTGAGAAAGCACTATTGATATTATTCAAACTACGAAATACAAGCAATAATGCGCTAAAAAGTTTTGAAATAGGTTCTAAATTGATTGTGGTTTATTGTAGTGACAACACAATATCAATTTATTTTATATTCTTGTGAAATATAGCGAAAAACTACGATAGCAAGACTTCAAATCATTAAATAACAATTGTCCTCAAACTACAAACGATGGAGTTGATTGTAGCTGAAATTAGATGTTTGTAGTTACCATTGAACACATCAAAAATGAATGAAATAAAATCAAGTATTTTTCAACTAAACTAAGCTAGCATAACCTATGCTAACCAACATACGTAACCTTGAATCTGAAGTAAAAACTAACGTATTTTAGAATGATTTATTTGGAAAAAACATCTACCCTCAACATCTACCTGACTTCCGAATTCAAAAACGAACTCATGTTAGTATGTTGGAAATAATTCTCAATCGTGAACATCTAACATGCGTTGGTTTTTTAATTCGGAAGTCAGGTTAAATGTTGAGGGTAGATGTTGTTTTCCAAATAAAGCATTCTAAAACACGTTAGTTTTTACTTCAGATGTCAGGTTACATATGATGGTTAGGATAGGTTATGTTAGGTTAGTTCAGTTGAAAAATACTCGATTTTATTTCATTCATTTTTGATGTGTTTAATGGTAACTACAGACATCTAATTTCAGCTACAATCAACCCCATCGTTTGTAGTTTGAGGACAATTGTTATTTCATGATTTAAAGTCTTGTTATCGTAGCTTATTTGCTATACTTCAAAAGAATATAAAATATAGTAATATTTTGTTGTTACTACAATAAACTACAATCTATTTAGAACCTATTTCAGAACTTTTTGGCACATTATTACTCGTCCTTCGTAGTTAGAATTATATCAATAATGCTTTCTCAGTAACCCGTAAGACTATTAAAAAAGAAGATTACTACATTCATTAGTATCATTTGTAGGTAAAGTAGGCTAAAAAAAAGGTAGACTTTTTTCAAAGCGGGTTCCAGCGTGACGGAGCTCGTAAAAAACCTTATTATAGCTTGCAGGAATTCTTAAATGATAGTATGCTAACTATATGAATATTATTTATACATGCTTGATTTTTTTTTCTTGAAACTACGTGTGTGAATTTTGTATGTAAAGCTTTGATTTGTTACTTAGTTTGTTATTTATTACTGACATGTTCCACACTCCGAGGAGTGTGTCAGGAGTAAATGAATATGTCCGGAGTAAATGAAGATCTATCTATCTGAACTTGGACTCAATTTTTTTTTTATTCTTCAAAGTCCTGATTCCATGTATGAAGGTAAAATTCCGTAATTTGGCCCTTTGCGGCTACGTATAAAAATATTCAAAATATTTTTGAGATGCTGAACGCTGAGTAGCTTTCCCGCTCATAAGTAGTTTTTCCAAACATCCCCAAGTTAACAAGATATATTCAAGCGATGCATCGGACCCGTCCCCTTCCTCTTCATTTCTTCTCCCCCTTTCAACACCGTATCCTGATTTCCCAGTCCGAAATCAACGTGTTCAACTCGATTAAACGTCTGGAGCGAGCGTCGCTCCGGCAGAGGCCATCTCTCTCTCCCTTCCGTGGCAAAACGGCCGTCCGTTAGTTTAGTTTATGTTGTAGTGCGCTTTTAGTAGCGAAAAGGAGCGCGAGTTGAGGTTATGTGTGTTCCAGAGCCGCCGCGGACGTCGCCCCAGCAGGATCCGATGGCAGCCGTCTTCTCGACGGCGGAACCGGCCGTCGCGACGTCAAGGGACAGCAAGGATGCCCAGTCAAACGACGATATGGTGGAGTACCCGCAGACCAGTTCGACGGTGAGTGCTTTCCTTGGTTGTTTTCCACTTTCGGAGATTGTTTTCTTAATACGCAGTTACATCTTCGAAGCGAAAAAATTATGTGAAACTTTCCGAAAGATCCGAAAACCTATCATTCGAAGTTGAAACGTGTTACTCTTCCCAAACAACAGATCTGTAACACTTTTCTGGACGTGCATTTCACCAACCAAGTTGACGTCTTCAGGAAATAAAGCAGTCTATTTCATGTCATGAATACATCAACTTGGATGGTGAAAGGTACGTCGAGAGGAGTGTTGCAGTTCTGGCATTTGACGTTTCAGTTCTACCTTTGAAATGTTTCAATTCATTAGGTTTCGTCGATTATACTGGTTTTTTCGATATTGAAATTACATTTATTTGTTAACCTAGAATTTGCGAAACCTGAAATACTTTTTTTCAACTCTAAAATATTCAATATCATTCATTTATCGTAATTGGACTGAGAGAATATTCATCAGAACTATAGATATATAAAAATTGAGTGAAAACGCTTCCTATTTGAATCGATATAATAATATAAACTTAAAAAGAATTCGTAAATTCGATTCAAAAAACACAATTCTTTCAATTCGTTAATATAATCAGTTGGATTCTGGTTACATTACTATAAATTCAGACAAATAACTTTTTTATGAGAAATATATCTAAAGTATGTGTAATCTGAAACTAGTTATTCAAATTTGGATAACTATATTCTTGAATCGAATATATCAATACATATTCTTTTGGAAAAACACGAAATAAGTTCTCAATATAAACATATACCGGGCATTTTTTTAGCTAACCTCACTATTGCTAAGTCGAAAACAGTTAGACCTGAAAGGTCGGTTAAATTAGGCAAAAGTTTCCAATTTCGAAAAACAGAAATAATCTTCTTTCAGATCTAGAACATCTCTCGTTGTTTTGGCATGTTTGCCAAAGACAAGAATTTTCGAATTTTGTTTTTTGGCTCCGTCGCCTTCATTTCGATCGATATACAAATCAGATGAAGCAAATTTTGATACTGTTTCATATTTATGATAATCTGATATAAACCAATTCACAATGCGACGTTTCGTTCATTAAATTTCATTATCAACTTCATAAAAGGGACATGCATTGTAACACACAGAGGACAATCATTTGTTTTATTGGAGTTTTTCACAAAAACAACAAACACTACCTAGATAATATGTGTTGTTTTCAGTGGATTTTGTTCATTTTCCATCAAAATTGTCTGAAGATTTTTCAGATTTCAAGTGATTTGCAAATATTTGCAAATGACATTTTATGTTTATTGAAACAACGATAAAAATTAAAACAACAATAAAAATTAATTGGCGCTCCGGGGCGCTATCTTTCTCTAGTTCCATTTTTATATTCGAAACATCAATTTTCTGTTCCATAGAACAAATAAAACATTATTATGATTTTAGAAACAAAAATTTGTATGAGAAAATCGAAGATTCAAATTCATTCAAGTGGAATAAATGCCAAATTTCAATGAATAATATACTGGCCAGAACAAAACCAAAGAAACAGAACAAAAATGAAGACAAAAATAGACAATTCAGGTAAATCAGACCATTGATGATGCAAATTTTTCTAAATATATTAGTGTACATATACATAAACATATATATTAACATTTACATTTTCATTCACATTTACATTTACATTCACATTTACATTCACATTCACATTCACATTCACATTCACATTCACATTCACATTCACATTCACATTCACATTCACATTCACATTCACATTCACATTCACATTCACATTCACATTCACATTCACATTCACATTCACATTCACATTCACATTCACATTCACATTCACATTGACCACAATCTTTTTTCCAATACTGGGTGAGTCAAATTCAGGAAACAATTTTTCCTTAAGTTTTCAAATTGAATATAATATTGGTTATTCGAAATGTGATCTTGAAATGTGAACTCTTTTCAAAAATAGGGTATTGTACATGTGAAAACACATCGAAAGTTATTATAAAATCAGTTTCAAAAAATATATTGACTCTCTGAGAAAAATTCAAGGACGAAGCTTTTCAATCGGTAGATCCCTAATCAATTCTCATCATTGATTATTTCATTTCTAACAGGCAATATGATATCGTGTTTTACCCAAATAGAATATAATACGAAAACTCAATTTCTTTCGATACGATCACTGAATCAGATTAATGTTACGACAATATAAATCTCGACATTGGAAAAATTTGATGACAGACTGGAAGACAATCGTCTACACTGAGATGATATCGAGATCCATCACATCAGCATATTGCTGACGGACACATGTTATATATCAAATTAAATTTTGCATGAGAATGAACATTTGCTGCCTGAAGCGAACGTATCTTAGACCAGGGCGTTAAAAGGGATGAAGAGTCTTTGTGGGTAGAAAGATCGTTAGTAGACTTCTACAAAATGTTTGAAACAAAAGTGTCTCTCTAACAGAAGAATTTTTTCAGTGAAGCAAAATTGTTACTATTCAAGAAAAAACAATTTGTGGAATTTTAGTTTTTACCAATGAACGGAGTGATTTAAGAGAGAGGTTTCGTGTGAAAGGATGAAGCAAAAAATTTACTTCATATTATTATTGTAGATCTGCGATAATATTTGTGTATATTTTGAAGATAGCTCACTATATCCATTTACATGCTTGAATGATGGTCACGTGTCTTGTGGTGTCTGTTGCCTTTATCATTTCAAGCCGGTCATAATTGTTTTTCATACTATGTATATAATTCAAATTGATGTTTCAAAATGCAATCGCACAAGAAAATGAATTCAAAAGGCCCGACAAACCGATTCGGCATTCATGATGAAGAAAGATTGCAATTGCTTCGGTTTCGTTCAAAGTAGTGAATCCTTCAGAAGGTCGGAATTTTATTTTGTGTTGTCTTCAACGATATATATATAGTTTATCTATTTCAAAATCTGCAAAGTCTACAGATCTTGCTTTATGTATCCCCAGCAATGCTGTCTCAAGACGCCCGTTTCGCTAAACAAGTTAGCATTATCAGGAGATGACTGAAACTATTCCTCACACTATTCCTCACAGCTATGTGTATTTAAGCTAAGCTTTTCTCGAGTAAACAATTTCAATATTAAAAAGTTTAGTTATCACTTCTGTAGGGTGTCCCGAGACGCACAGGTTTTTTTTTCAAGTCGAAGTTGTGTTATACAAAAAAAAAACACATTATCGTTAGTATAATGGAATACAATAGGAATAGAATAGAATAGAAATTTATTCATACTGAATAACAAACAGAATGGTTTCCACTTACGTGATGTACAGTTTTTTCAAAAGTTCCTTACATATAGTATTCATTGAGTACCATTGATACATCGATATAGAATATTACAATATAAAACAATAAATAATAAAATGACCGTGAAAAGATTCAGACAAATTTGAGCATACGGAGGAGTTGTCCCTCTGTAATACTGAATATATCCAGTTCACACTTCCTGACCATTTTGTTAACTGTTGAGAGGAGACAAATTGTTTGAGATACGAAATAGATTGTCTCTTCTTCTCAGTTTTACGTCAGGTACAATAAAATCAATACATTTTTTATAGTATAGAGAATTTTAGATACTTTCAGTTTTCTAAGAATGTTAAAAACAAAAATCACTTCCGAGGACTCACGGCGGTCTTTGAATGGTTGCATGTTGAATTCTTGTAATTGGCTAGAATACGATATAAATAAAGGCCAAACATTGTGTTTTCTGAAAAAGAGTGTTGTTAATAATCGTTTCTGGACTTTTTCTATAGTTTCAGAATATAAAAAAGTCTTTGGATTCCAAATGAGACAACCATATTCCAGCTTAGAACGAACAATGGAGTTAAAGAGTAACAAACAAGTATAGTGATTGAATTCACGGCTGAATGTTGAGACAAAGCTCATTTTTCTATAACATTCAGATACTAAGTATTCAATTTGCCTAGAGAAACTGAACAGTAACAGTAAAAATGATCCCGAGATATTTCATCTCATTGATTCTTTGTAAATTGGTATGATTAATGAAATAGTCCTTGATAGTAATTGACTCCTGTCATGTAAAAGTCATTATTTTGCATTTAGCTTCAATAAAAGATAGGTCAGATACTGAAAAGTAAGTAGATAGATTATTGAGATCATCTTGAAGCATATCAGAATCGTTTTCGCTTTCGATTCTTCTAAACAGCTTGAGGCATCGGCATATAGGAGAAATTGAGAATGCCCGATATACCGAGAAATGTCATTAACAAATAACACGATAAAGAGAGGTCCCAAATGCGAGCCCTGCGGAACTCCCGAAGTAACGATGAATTCGAAGGAAAATACGTTGTTGAACTGTACGAACAGTATTCTGTTGGATAGATAGCAGTGAAAGAAATCAAGTGTACTGTTTGTGAAACCGAATGCTTTTATTTTCAGGAGCAAAACCTCGTGTTTAACTCTGTCGAATGCCTTGGCCAGGTCAGTGTATATAACATCTTTTTGATAGCCATTCATTATTCCATCCTTAACAAAGTAACTAAATGCCCATAAATTGGTAATGGTAGATTTATTACGAATAAAGCCATGCTGTCACTATATATTTGTATATTAATGTATCCATTCTCAATCCATATGCAGTTAACAGTATTTCAACATGCGTGCACTCTATATATTCGTACAATAATATCAACTCCAAGAATATCTTCCTGTTGCTCTTCAGTGAGTAGATGGAAATGGATTTTCTGTCATTGTCAAGCTTTTGAAGAGATCTTTTGTAGAAAATAATTCCTTTACACGAAGTTTTATTGTTCGTAAGCAGTTGTAGTTGAACTTTTGAACATCAATCAAACCATTGATTCACAGTCACTGGTTAACAAATGCATTTCTACTTTCCTATTCGATTTTAAAACTATAAAAAAAAGACATCAATTCTCTCACTTCTTTAAAAAGAATTGTAAAATATCCCAGACCTTGTCTAATTATG